AACAGAAACAACTAAATTGGTGGTGTTTCACCTATTATCGGAAGAGAACCACTGCGCATGCGTCGGCGTTTCGAAAATCCAGTCCGCCATTTTCTGTTAATCTCTAATCACATATGCTGTTTTTACGTTATTTTTAATGTGCTAATTAATCAAAAAGGACTTAAAAGTAACTTTTTACATTTATCATCGTGACTATAGTTCTTATGAATGAAATGAATGTTTATTTTCTGATTTTGTACATCATTCTTTCACCGGAAGTGTTAGTAAGCATGCGTCTGCTAGCAATAGTCTGAATTATGTAAGCGCTCATTAAAAGCGCTGTGATATCTATATTTATATCCTTTCAAAAGGATTTCAAAATGGCGCGCCCAGTTTTTCACAGCTCATTAGGTATAGGATATATATTTTTTTGAAAAACTTATCGTGGGCAATCTCCTATGCAGTGATCTCCCCTTATCAGTACAGAGATTACAATTCTGCCAAGGGAGGTAATCAGTGTGAGGAGTTTGGTTCGTGGGTGACCAGTCTACACATCCGTTTTCAGTAAGAAATCCTCAGTTTTTATCGTTATCTTTAAATTCGAAAAGTTGCGATGTGTCAATTCGGTACTTCGGACGAAAGTTTTCAAAACCATCACTTAGCAGGTACTCGCGTTACCGTAAAGCTCGCTTTGCGAGCAGGCCCTTCGGGCCAGCTCGTCGAGCTCGCTAATATGAAAAGGCAAAGCCTCAAAGCGAGCTCGATGTACTTTTTAACGTGAAATAGTATGAAATAATCGCTCATTTTTATTTCAAATGCAGTGACGAGTGCGTGTGACGTTACACGTACTGTGTTAAATATGGCTCCGCCCCTGTCGTTAAATGAATAACGAGTTTGAAAACGTTGATAAAACTTTGTATATATTTTATTTCACTCTATAATTTTTCAAGCGAAATAAAGATTATTAAAGTGAAATAAACGTAAAACTTAAAACGTTTGCGACATTAAAATAGCGTACTTGATTTGTTTGTTTTGCACGTGCTGTTTGGCGCTACATTGTGACGTCACGTAAACACTACTTTTAAACGTCTGTACAGCGTTAACGACTGAATAAAAGATATTGGTGTTCGGATTCATTTTCTTAGTTAGACCATTTTCTTTCATTCTAGATAGTTTTCACAACAAATTCGACAAAAAAAATTGTTTTTAATTTATCAGATTTTTTCAAAAACAAAATGGCCGCCTTCAATTTTCATTTTACATTTCCGTTCGATATTTTTATCGACAGCTTCCGTTATTCTGGTTTCCTGTCCAATTATGGTTCCCATAGACGTGCGCGGGTGACCAGTCTACACATCCGTTTTCAGTCAGAATTCCTCAGTTTTTATCGTTATCTTTAAATTCGAAAGGTTGCGATGTGTCAATTCGGTACTTCGAACGAAAGTTTTCAAAACCATCACTTACCGCGTTACCGTAAAGCTCGCTTTGCGAGCAGGCCCTTCGGGGCAGCTCGTCGAGCTCGCTATTAAACGCTGACCCCGGATATGTCACAGGACTCATACCTCTATCTTAAGAGTACCTACGTGAATATGTTTGAAGTTGTTGAATAAGTTTTCCCAATATATCAAGTAAAAGTCCACATAATTTAAGTAAATTCATAGATAAAGAAGTAAACAGTACATAACTTATGTATGCAAACCTGTTGACATGGTGTGGAATGGAGTGGAATATGTTTATAATTGTACATCAGAGGGAAAATTTATTATTTAAAAATGGTTGTCAGACATATTTTTAATCAAAATAATAATGAACCGAAAAAGACTTAATTTCCCTTTGGATGTCAAAAATTTACATCCGTTGATAACACTCTGTTTTGTTTTCATTTAAACCACGAGAGTGGCAGAACGTATAAAGTCCGACGTTATTATAAATAACAGTCGATTCCGATTGCGTCTCGATAGATAGATATTAGTGGTCTTTGGGAGACCGGAGTCCGTCGATAAGTAGACCTCGTTAATCTCAAATTGCTTGTCCAATTAACATTTCAGTTCACACTTAAGGTTTCAAAAAGTGCACTCGGTGTGCACTTCAATGTGCACCTCATGTGCACTGGAGATGCACTAGACCAATTATGCACTGGACTGTGTTTAAGCTTGTTTGTAGATGACAGATATATTTAATTACAACTGTACTTTAGGTTGTATTTATCTATACATGTTTATTGTTGAATTATATATACTAAATCAATTAAAGGGTAAATAAAGCTACATATAATGAAGATTATCTATCTATTATTATAATTATTATCATTTTTGTAAAATTTATAAATAGTTGAATGATATTATTTCCACAATATTATGGTCGATTATCAAAAGAGTTGTTTAATAGAATGCCTCTGTTTGTTATTACACATGAATATTGTACATGTTCTATAGCTGTTTTCAGAAAGTTTTAAACCGATTAATTGCACGTGCCAAGATTAATTGCACGTGCCATCCGCTTTAATGCAAACATACAGACATATTTCTATGTAACTGGTATTTTGAAATTATTCTCTTTATTTTTTACGAATTTCAAACAGCAATTTTGTAATCTAGAGCCAACAAATACATAGCTTTACACTTTAATTGCCTTAGTGAAAAAATTTATTTGTGAATTTATGAACAATTTAATTTAGTTTCCTTATTATAACGTCATTGCCTCAAACACAGAAAAAGTTGAACGTTAAATTATATGAAAAATTCTTCAAAGATACATATACTCACACAAATAGAAACAATGTCTAAGATAGAAAGATAGATAGAAAGATAAATAGAATAATTAACTGACCAATTACATGACGAATGTGAGATCAATCAGCCTACAAAAAAGGAAGTAAATAAAATAAATAAATAAATAAATAAATAAATAAATAAATAAATAAATAAATAAATAAATGAATGAATGAATAAAAATAAATAAAAAATAAATAAATAAATAAATAAATAAATAAATAAATAAATAAATAAATAAATAAATAAATGAATGAATGAATGAATGAATGAATGAATGAATGAATGAATGAATAACTAAATTGGTGCAGATTAAAACTAATTACATCGGAGTTTGTTTAAGATCTATTCAGTATTCGCTTTTCTCGTAATAATCTGTTCCGGATTTGCCAAAAGAGATGAATTTCGAGACACTGGGACATTGAAAACTTCCAGTAACCTGTGACAATAATGTAAAGGCAGGTAGGCATAATAACGACAAGTAAAATTCTTCGAACACCTAAAGACGGGATGGCTTTGATAAGGGTGTTATGCCAGCAAAGGTTCTTTCTTACTAGCGATATATGCTTGCCGGGGGCTCACGCATACATACTATCATCAACACAATGCCCGTTAGTTAACTGTAGGGCCATTCCCCCAGCCCTCAAGGCTCCAATAAGGACATCGGAAGCTGCTCCGCATGATCCGAGGTTTGGTTATCATTTTAGCCTTCTATATCCTATGTTTATTTCCTGACCGATTTATGTGTCCCTTAATGACAGAATTTTGGTACGATGCTCATTCTGAAAAAGTTGTTAAGGAAACTTATCATCCAGAAACATTTAAAACTTGATATAAATAAAATTTGCAATAATAATGTAGTCCAACGTCGGTTGATGTTTTCTCATGAAACAATATCAGAGGAAGGTAACTGCAGTCATATATTCCGGCTGTTGTCAAAGCAAATGAATGTAAGCATTGGTATTTTGACCTAACATTTATGTAATGGCTACACTTCATGACTGTAGAATGATGTAAAATATCAGGACAATATATTCTAATTACTTCCGTATTTGTTTGATTACCTATTATTCCCGCGCAAAATACACACATTATTTTCAAATATATTTGACACACTTAGTGTTTTCTGCACACACCTGCTAACGTATAATCGAATCATGTGTAACATTTGCTAAGAATTTGCACATCACATTACAGAGAATCTTTTTGTTGAACGAAAACATGTTCATTTTATTGGCATGAAAATTGTCGTTTCTAAGCATATTAGATGTATATACATGTATTATATGATGTTGCTGTTGTTATGTTTGTGGTTTGTATTGTTTGAAATTTTATCGTCTAAACATGTACATATGGTTTATGCATAAAGTTATATGTTTTATTAAAACAATATTGTAACACGTTCATAAATATATAAACATTAAAGTCAACGTTGTATAAATCTAAAAATGGGGAAGTTGCTATTTCCACTGATACTTGTAAGTTTTATATTTAAATTATTGTGTTTTATGATAACTTTTCTTTCAATTCTGTTTCTTTACAATGTACATGTATTTTAGTTATATACCAACATTTGCACTAACCTTTACATGTAAAACAAACCATTTCTTAGCTACACAATTTGTTCTTCGCATATTTATTGTATGATTCTAAAATTCAAAATTCAATTATTGTGAAAATGAATAATGACAATTATAATTGTATTACTTATTTTGCGATATTGTTAATACATGTACACTGTTTCACATTCGGACGTATATGCCCTGTTTATATGTATGTATGTATGCCTCTTTATACAGTAATTCATTTTGTTTTATGGGAGGATTTTTAGAAGAACCTTACAGAATCAATAACATATTAAAGCAACTATATTTTCTTGACTGGGGTAAAGTGACATTATGCCCATCCAAGGGTATATAATGATTGAACAGGTGAAAGCCTTATTAATTAACATTTTGCCATATTTTCAATGTTATAATTTACTTCTCATATGAAATTTCTGTAAATGCCCATCGGAATTTAACCGTGGTATTTAAGTCATAAAAAGACTGAGGCAGTCTTTTTTATGTGTATCTTAAACATTTTCAAACATTTTCAAATATCAACCAATAAATTATTCAACCTTTTAAAACATATATATTCAGTTCAGCTCAACGAGCATAATGTCACTTTAAGGCATTTATTTTGTAATTTATTTTCGATTGTACATGTGTATATAAAGAAGTTTGAGACATTTCGAGTTGCATCGTACACTTTCGTTCATTGCTTCTGTTTTTGTTGTTGTGTTTTTCATATAAATTTCAATACGTGTACGTAAAAATACTTAATATGTATCGTTTTTATAAAGGTCTTCACATTGTTAGCTAACATAAAAAGAGTTTCAATGTTGAAAAGGACGATTCGCACAACAGACAATGACGTAAGTAAAGTTTATTTAAATATAATGTATATTTGTTTAAATATCACAGTGTGGATATATCATGTGGTTTCGATGCCATGGTTTTGTTATATAAGCCAAGTATAGAAAGGTGCTGAAACACATTGGATCTGTAGGGAACAATAAATCAATAAAATCAAACCTTAGATTCGGACTATTTTTAGTAATAAAGAGGCGTGATCATCTTAGTATGTGATTTTCATATATTTTGCTGACAATTCAATTAAATTTTTTAACAGATAACATTGATTCCGTTATTTTTTTAATTTCAGTGTAAAGCAACGAATGAAATATGTGTTACACGGGGAACAGAGAAATACTGCGTAGATAGTAAGTGTCTATATTATAGCACTTTTATGATAGCTATACTTTATTATAGTGGTCCGAGGTGAATATTAAATATTATATTCTGATCACATGGTTCAAGTGTTATGAGTTGCAGGTTTTGACTGATGTCCCCCCCCCCCTCATTCAATTTCTTTATCGAATGTTTCCAGCCAGCAGTTCTGCGAAAAACGGTTACCAATACCTCACCCTACTCCCATTCTAGCATTTGTGCATTACCTATCCTTATTTGTACATTTGGTCAGATCATCACAAACATTTCAATATAGATTGAATTAAAGATTATACAATAAATTATATGTTGAACTAAACATCACCCTGATTGTTGCCGTTCCTAGACGGTGACATGTACAATAAACAAGACTTGATTATTTCTGCCCTTACACCACCTGTCACTGGAGAATTTTATACCACATTATAAAAGACCTCAGAATATGGACGCATACGGGTCACGCCATCCGCTATATTTTATAGGGTATCCAACATTTAGAATTCAAATGCTCAGACGTGGTTCACAATATTTGGGATATTTCTCTTATATTTAAAGTAATAACAGATCAGATTTGAAATGTTGCAGGCTCGATTTGATTGAACCTGTTCAGGGACGGTACTGAAAAATGCAAGTTAACGTCCACGTCGCCTAGCACTGGCTACAAGTCAATTACAATGTAAATGATATTTAGCAAACAAAAACCCTCATTTGTTGCAATTGTGCAATGATACCTGAAGCATTTCACCAGTTAATATAAATATACATTACAGTTATTTATATAAGCAGATACATTTTATGGCGAGTGATCGAGTAATAAAATAAAGAAATGAGTTCGATCCCCGCCCCTCCACTCTTGATAAATTATTAAAAATATAATCGGATGAGACTTTTAAAAAAACTGTAAAAAAGTGTTAATTTTATAATTGCATTAGTGCATTACCTTGAACTAAGTTTTCATTGTATTGCTTTCAGGTTTTCACGAAGTGCTCATAATAAACGTACGCCGTAATTTGTGGTCTCCCAAGATAATTAGGTAATTGATGGGCTATAACTGGTGACCAGGCCATTCTGAAATAGGAAGCACCATGCTTGACATATCAAAGATTGATTTTATTTTGAAAACAAATACAACAACAATTACAACAAATTTCAAAAACGTTATATATTAAATCATGTTTATATGACAGAATACTAGATACCTCAAAGAACATGTATGCCACATTTAATTATTAAGAAGCTAAAAAGATTTCTCATGGTGTGTTGTTTTTATGCATCCATTGTATTAAATTACGGTAAAGCAAATTTAAGTGATTAATTACCATGTATATGCCTTTTTTCGTACAGCTGAATAAGATCTATAATTGTAAAGTACTACAACCGTTAATGACGCTTGTCCATATAATACGTGTATCATTAATCAATTGATTTATACATATAACTTCCACCAACTTAAAGCATAAGTTTACTGTGTCCTAATAACATATAGTTAATACTTTAAACGAGTATAAAACTGCTTTCAAAATTACTGACAATTAGTCTGCTGTATTACATAACTGTTACTGAGAAAAGAACAGACATAAGAAGCAAACATGTGAAAGAATATCCAAATATCTGTTTAGACATATTTCCTATGGCGCAGTATGGGCTCCTTTATTATTATATCAAATAAAGTAGACATTTGCGGCAATGTTACCTTTCCGAAGTCCTTGCTTTGTCAACTACTCGAACGTTACATTATTGTGTGACAGGCAACACTCTAGACAACACAAATATAGGCAAGAATATGTTCTGTTAAGGCCCACAATGTACATGTAGGCATTGACTTGGTGACAATTATTAATATCTTTCTTGTATCAATTGCTTCAAAGATTTTGGAAAATACATGGATTTTACGTTACAAAGTACTTACAAGAAGGTGTTGGTAAAATACATTGACTTGTTGAACTTGATGGAAGCTAGTTTAGGAAACTCATAAAGAGAACAGTAAAGATCAAGATCAGATACAAAATTAAAAAAAAAACAAAAAACAAAAACAACAAGTCCCTCTAATAAAGATTAAACAAGTGTTTTATAATGTTTTAATAATAGAGCACTTTAGATGCTTTTCATAAGACGAAAGTAGCACTAAATGTCAAATAATTTGTTATAAAGTAGGAATATGTTAACAAAGTAGTATTGTTTTTTTCATACAAAATATTAAATCACTATCACTATCCTAATTCAGAAAAAAATGCAACAGAGGCAAAAGATGGATTAGATAGATGTCCAAGGAATTGTTTTGGAAACTATAGACCGCCACCAAAATTAAAAAGCTTTTGAGAAATAAAAATAAAAGCATGATTGACAATTGAATGGAACAGTTTTTGACGACCAATTTTTGTAAGAGAGAAAGAATGGCTATGAACAATTACATAATCTTGAAGTAAGGGATATATTCGGCCTGCAATGGTCATGTGAGCATCAGTTGAATGAAGCAATCTGAATTTCTGCCACAAAGTCTCTGTAAGTCACAATCTTTTACAAAAATAAAAAAAGAACAAGGAAAGTTGTATTGATCTAAAGGGACTTCACTGAGAATTTTTTTTACATGATGTGACTAGACATAATTTTTCGAGGTTAATATAATAACATTTGATGCAGGTCTAGACCAATAACTTGTTTGCAAAATTTCAGATAAATTTCTCACTCTGTTTTTTTGTCAAGAACAATAATTCTACGAGTGAAAATTGACCCAAAATTGAAAAGCGCTGCAATGCCTTTCAATCAAATCGGGCGTAAGGTATAACACAAAATACCATTTTCAACTTGTTTCTGAGTATATCTCTTTATCATCTTTTGCATATTTTTCTGTTGCAAGTGCCTAAGCTGATCAATGAAAAAAAAATCAAAATTTATGCTTTTTAGGCTTTTGAACCTCAGCGGAGTTGATTTATATATCATGAACATTATATATTGGTGGATTTATGTAAATTATTGCAGTGCCGAATTCATTTTCAGAAATGCTTAGACAAGGTTTCATCCCAGTCAATATGAGTTAAGGTCCAATGGGTGCTGGCAAACAAAAGATAATTGAAGAACTGTCTAGCTATTGTACTTATCCAAGTTCTGCTCAAAATACATGAACTTATTATGTTAGGCAGGTGCAAAGATCAAATACTATCTAAATTGATTACTTCCAGGAAGGTAAAGTTTCTTGATGACGTCTTTTGTGAAAGAAAATACCGATATATTATACAATTAGGAATATGGCAGCAAAGGGCATGTATGTTATCTTGATACAAGACGAGCTTTATACAAATTGTGACATAAATGTTTGTTATGCTAATGTGAATCTACCAAATTTCAATATATATTTCTGAAAGAAAAGCTATTTTACCATTGATGATCAAGGAACCAAGAAAGGGGGATAATCTCTCCGACACTCTTGTACATAAATGATCTGCTATCTAGTGGTCGCGTCATTTGTGTCGATTATGGTTGTAGAAACCGAAAGTACAAAATGCAAATCTGTTGAAATGGGGTCGAATATGTTTATAATTGTACACCAGAGGTCATTTGTTTTTTGAAATGGTTGTCAGACATATTTCTAATCATAAAAACATGTACCAAAACATACTTTATTTTTAGATAGATACCGTTTATTCCGTTTACTGTATTTTATGTTGTATTTATCTATATATTGTAAAATTATATAATTATACTAAATAAATTAAAGAGGACAGAAAGCTACATCTTAAAGAAATTTTTTTCATCGTTTATTTCATTTTATTATTACTTTATTATTATCATTATCATATTATTATTATTATTATTATTTGTAAAATTTACACATAGTAAAAAACTTCATTTTTACAATCTTATAGTCGATTCGCAAGAGTTGTTTTATAGAATGTCTCTGTTATATAACACACAAGAATATTGTACAGTCATATACTAAATAAAACATTTTCTTGCATATCAGACTGGATTATCTACCGTTTACACCGGTGCTTGAAAAACCTGTCTTACACCCACCATGTAAGACAAGTCGCGTGTTTTAAATGACGAAAAGTACAGCGGACACTGTGACATTGAAAACTTACAGTAACTTGTGACAATAATGTAAAGGCAGGTAGCCATAATAACGGCAAGTAAAATTCTTCGAATTCTTTGAACTATATTTCAAGAAGCAATATGTCAGAAGAAGGTAACTGCAGTCATATTTTGCGGCTATATTAAAGATGCCAAAGCAAATGAATGTAAGCATTGGAATTTTGTTTGGAGACACTATGTCTGTAGGCAGAATGAAAAAAATATCAGTACAATGTATTCTTATTACTTCTGTATTTATTTGCTTACCTTTTTGCCAGCGCAAAATAAACGAACTATATTTCTGCACACACCTGCTAACGTGTAACCGAATAATGTGTAACATTTGCTAAGAATTTGCAAATCATCAATATAACAACAACATATGGACTAACTTAACAGAGAATCTTTTTGTTGAACGAACACATATTCATTTTGTTTGTTTGAACATTGTCGTTTCTAAGCAAATTAGATGTATATAGATGTATTATATGATGTTGCTGTTGTAGTTAGTATTGTTTGCAATTTTATCTTTAGAAACATGAACATATGGTTTATGCAAAACGTTATATGCTTTATTCAAACAACAGTGTAACACTTGTCCATTTAGCAATATACATTAAAGTTTCTGTCAATTTTAAGTCAACGTTATTTGAATTTGAAAATGGGGAAGTTTCTATTACCACTGATATTAGTAAGATTTTTTTTAATTCTTGTGTTTTATGACAACATTTTTTAAAATTCTGTTTCTTTACAATGTACATGTATTTTAGTTACCAACATTTGCACTAACCTTTACATGTATAATAAAGCATTTGTTAAGGTATGAATAACTTTAATGCACAATTTGTACGGTCGCATATTTATTTTAAGATTTTACGATTCCAATTTAATTATGGTGAAACTGAATAATAACAATTATAATTGTATTACTTATTTTGTGATATTGTTAATACATGTACACTGTTTCACATTCGGACGTATATGCCCTATTCATATGTATGTATGCCTCTATATACAATTATTTTTTTATTTGTTTTATGGATTTTTAGAAGAATCTTACAGAATCAATAACATTATTAAAGCAAACATATTTTCTTGACTGAAGTGACATTATGCCCATCCAAGGGTATATAATGATTGAACAGATGAAAGCCAAAATTAACTTACATTTTGCCATAATTTCTTTTTTTCAATTTATAATTTACTTCTCATGAACAATAAAAAAACTCATGTGGCCAAAGGAAATTTCTGTAAATGCCCATCTGAATTTAATCGTGATGTTCAAGTTATACAAAGACTGAGGCAGTCTTTCTTTTTAAATATCCTAAATATTTTCCAATATCAATCATTAAAACAGTCAATCAATCTTTTTAAATATATATTAAATTCAGCTCAACTTGACAATGAAAATGAGCATAATGTCACTTTAATGCATTATTTTTTTGTAATTTATTTTCGATTGTATATATTAATTTATGTGACCTTTCGATCAGCATCGTACACTTACATTTATTGCTTCTGTTTTATTATTTTACTAAAATATTCATTTATAAAAATTTCAATACGTGTACGTGATAAAAACTTAAAATGTATCGTTTTTATAAAGGTTCTCACCGTGTTAGCTAACATAAAAAGAGTTTCAATGTTGAAAAGGACGATTTGCACAACAGACAATGACGTAAGTAAAGTTTATTTAGATATACGAGTATGTGTTGAAATATCACAGTGTGGATATATCACGTGGTTTCGACGTCATGGTTTTGTAATATAAGCCAAGTATAGAAAGGTGCTGAAATCACTTACAGTCCACACTGGATCTTTAGGGAACAATAAATTAATAAAGTCAAATACATGTAATATATTTGGACCTTTTTAGTAATAACGAGGCCTTATCATCTTAGTATGTGATTTTCAAATATTTTGCTGACACATCAATTCAAATTAACAACCGATCACAATGATTTTCAATACAATCTTAATTTCAGTGTACAGCGACAAAAGAAACATGTGTTACACGGGGAACCGGGAAATACTGCGTAGATCGTAAGTGTCTCTTTATAGCGCTTTTACGATATCGTGGTCCGAGGTGAATATTAAATATTATATTTTGATCACATGGTTCAAGTGTTATGAGTTGCAGGTTTTGAGTGATGCTCTCCCCCACATTCATTGTTTCCAGCCAGCAGTTCTGCGAAAAATGATTACCAGTACCTCACCCTACTCCCATCCTAGCTACAGTGTAGTACTTATCCTCATTTGTACATTTGGTCAGATCATCACAAACATTTCTATATGTTACTAAGAATTAAAAAAAAAAAACAAACTAAGGTACTAATGTAATGTAAACAATAATAGGAATATTCCTATGATAAACATAGTTTTAAATTTAATTGTACATGAACATGCATTTCAACTTAGCATATACATGTATTTTGAATAACAGTAGTTAAAACTTTAGTTAGCAGATGTGTGAATTAAATCTGTCTCAGTGCAATTTTAAGATTGATTAATGTTGATGCGAAATTTAACAAGACAAAATTAATTTCAAATTTGAAACAAAGAATTTCGGAAACGAAGACTCGCAACAGGTTTTGCCAATGCCAGATTCCTTCATGACAAGGCGTCATAACACAAGGCGTTAAAAGAACAAGACTTTCTGAAGCAGAAAAAAGTCGTTGTTGTCCATATTAACCTTACCTTGCCCCTTGTTTCCAAATTGCCTTGATGGTATACTTAAAAGAGTATGAAAATGTTCTTAAAGATTGGACCCTGAGGCTGAAACTTTTGTATATCTATTTTAGGTGAAACAAAATAACAAACTCACTGAAAACATATGACGAGTCAAATTTAACGTGTTTCTAAGATTAATTCATATTTGAAACTCCATGTAGTAGTAAAACAAAGCATATGGAAAATACGCATTAAGATAAATCACATTATCTTTGGATTGGAACAAGAAGATGTGGTGATAATAGAATACATAGCGAGGAATGCATGTGTCAGCGTTGTGCTTGTAATTAGAGGGTAGATATATTCAATTCTATCTGTGCACGTAATTGTTACCATAACTGCGTTTCTCAACACTACAGGAGACCGAGTATGCTCGAACTGGTTGTATTATAATGTACTGAAAAGCGGAATGAAATAATGGACTTAGGGAAATATTTATATTATGCTATAAAGCAATTAAAAGATCTGTAAATCAAAGCTGCTACATGTATTGTTTATTCCTTCTATTTATTGTTTATGTATGCATTATACAACAGCTGTTCGTACGAAATCTTATTACAGTTCATGATTTAGTTTATAATGCAAACGCTTTACAATTGTGATTTTTTTGGTCCTATATAATAGATACTATTTACGTTTATTCTTCAGCTCTATACTTTGTGCTGCAACTTTTATTCATGACCCTGGTATTGTATTTCTGATATTTTATACAAACTCATGCCGTAACGACTATATGTATTAATTGTATACGTGAATACATTATCTGTCTATCTACTTATATCCATACCCTTGTAACTGCACTCAATTTTAAATGTGCAAAAAGTGCAACGTAACTGCAAAAAAATCATCTGTCTTTGAACAAAATCCAGCAATATAATAGTATAACGTTATTACATTACACAATTTAAACAATATTGATTGCAACATAAAAGAATACTAAGGACTACTTATTATTTAAGATCATTTTTATTAACTGCCGTAGACAATGTAACCAGATAATTTTCCCCGACATTTATTGTGTAATTTTAGACAGATAAAAAGAAATGCTAGCACTTGTCGAACAAGCATTTTGATAAAGAGCAGCTTTTGCTCTGAACCTGTCTTAATTTTATTTTACAAGACTGTAGAAAGGAAATAAAAGAACAAGGTATATTCTTTTTCTTCAAAATCTTTTAAACGCGCTGAAAACATACGGTTCCAAATGTTGCAGCTTGGGGCAACTATATTACTTTTATTCGGTAAGCATAACTTTGAACAATTACACTAAATACTATCAAGTACTTAGATAAGTTAGTTTTAATCCTTTTAACACTATTTGTTTTTGTAGAAATGTCAATTGTTTGCACATCATTCATTATGTCTTATAATGACCCGGACACACCCTTTTCATTTAAGGAAAATATCAATACTAATTCCAGATTTCACATAGGAATATTATCGATTTTTTCCATTTAAAATACCGGTACCTGTGCAATTGAATATTTAAATTACATATTTGTGGCTTAAGATATTACCATGAATTATAACTTGCTGTTTAATAATTAAAGGTTTTATGTCGAGATAGATATTGTCATTTCTTCATCATTTAGTTTCTGGTGACACCATTGCGATATATGAACGGAATTCGTAGAATAAAACGTTGGAAATATAAATGAAAAATGTTTAGTTTATTTTTTTCACATTATGTGTTTCATTCAACACTTTCCTACATATTGAATTCGTACAAAGAAATATAAATATAATTAAGATGTTACACTTAATCAAACAACTTAATTATATGTCGACAACAAGGTCAGCCAAACTAGTTACACAATGATTCACAATTATTAATATGTAAGTTTATAATAAAATATCCTTCTAGTACGCTATTTATGTTATTTTGACGGTTTACAGTCACGCAAACACTTTAACAGTCGTATGGCGACTTTCAAGCTTTATTGGTATTGGAGAAGGTTCTCCTTCGTGCATTATTTCAGACAGGAGCGGGCACCTCCGTAATACAAAAACCTTCCGTTAGAAAGCTAGACATCTTATATAAAATATACCCATCTTAAGTCAAACATATCTTTTAAATAACAGTCAAAAGAACAGGTATTGCATAGCTTAAATTTGGACATGATTAAACATTAATAAAATGTATAGACAAGGTTTAAGAGTTGTTTAAGACCTATTATTGTAATCAGCTATAAACAACTGCTTTTTAACAGGTTTATTGGCATATTCTTCTGCTACTTCATGCAGTGGACATGTTCGTGAGCTCAAAGATGTCGGTAGAAGAGGACCTTCGTATGTAATTAAATCGTCTTCCGAGCCTTATATATCAGACTCAACACTTCCAGCAGGATGGTACTTTGCTAAGGATAGTGCCCGATACTACACGCTTGTGAATGGAACAGCACCGACGTTCGCGCATTGTGGGACATATAGTCCGATATATATCAAAGGTATTGAATACTAATTAGAAAATATAAGGTTTCTGTTTATTAAGTAATAATCCAGTCAACAAGATATTACCATTCTAAAAATATATATTTAGAATGAGGATCACTGAAATACTATTAAAGCAAAGCTAAGTGCGCTTGCAAATCAAGTTTAATAAATAGGTTAATTGCCCGTGAAATCTGTATTGGAAAAATGAAATGGTACTTTTCAATTACTGTAGACAAACTTGGAGAGCTGGACGAAGGCAAAGAATATCTACTGACCGCATGCCTACTTGCCTTCGACAGTAGTTGTCAACATCGTTATAGTATCAAACTTCGTAAATGTGGACAACAAATTCAGTACTATCTACTTCCAACAGATGGGACGAGTGCATATTGTTTTGGTATGAACTCATTTGTAAAGTATTCGACATAAGAGCAAACCATAATGACAGTTATTATAGTAATTATAATGATAATACGAAAATTGTGTCAACCGTATGATACTATCGTATATAAAACATCATTTTTATATAAGAAATATATTTTTGCTAATCATTGTTAACATTTTTACTTATGTCATATAACATTCAGAAAAAAACTTTGCGAAAGATTTATATGAGAGCAAGTAGCACAGTAGAAACAGCGTACTTTAAACATATAAATAATTAATACCGAAGAATTTTGCTTTATAAAGTAATATAAAATGTTTTATTTTTCACAGAGCCGTCGTCATTCTCAGGTGAGTTATTATTTACATTGACGGATTTTAAAACTGGAAAACATGTTTACACAATTTGTTCTTTGTAAGTTGCTCCATGAACACATCTGCGGATGTTTCTAATTTTAACATTTCAACATTGTCATGTTAAATGTTGAATCATACTTAAGCTGGTACTAGGAGGCGTTGACGGTAGTTTGCACTTTACAGTACCGTCCATGGACAGGTACAATCAAACCGAGCCTGCAACATATTCAATTTTCCCGTTTTGGACTTTCTTTAGGGATTCCTATTTTCACAATTATTGTACATTTGCATATCTAGAAACATCATTGTTTTAACTGTCGACACCAACCAATACAAAGGAAATTTTATTGTTATTGCTTGTTGCACTGAATTTGAAAATACCATTTATTCTAGTCGAAGAACCTGCACCAGATTACATAATTCCTGACAACATTCAAGTAAGCGTAGCACTGATGTACCGACGTGAAAATAACAGTTTAGAACCGGAACTTGACTTCAAATGTAATTTCGAATCGGCCAGTAATCGATATTACTATGGAGTTAGCTGGTAAAATTAAAGCGTTACTGCTCATTCATTGTAATAAACATAAATAAACAATTTAACAAAGTGTTCAAATTAAATGAATATGATTTGACATTATTGAAATAAGAATATAACATAATACCATCGTTTAACTTTATTCATCAATAATTCTTGCATTTTTATTCATATGTTTTGTTTGTTAGCCGTGATGGTGTTTTCCTCTGAACCAAGAGATTATGGGTTCGATCCCTGATAGGGTTATGACCATGTTTCTTTACATGACACCAGTACTGGTAACTAGTAGTACCAAGAGTGTGGTTTATATCAGATACAGGCTTTTATCATTATCAAGTTAAAATATGTATGTTTAAAGTAAACTAAATTGATGAATTCGCTAGGAAGCATATTTGTGTGAGTTAAAGACACAAAAATATAAGAGAAAGAATGACCTGGATGTGTGGCTGAAAAATTCAGGAACTGGGATATAGAGACAACCCAATACATAGGACATAAAATGAAGTAATCTAGAAACTATAGTACACAATTGTGTGTATATATCTATAAGAATCCCTTTTCGTCCATTGGGTTTATCGGAAAATTTTGTAGAACGTCTAGTAATATTGGCTTGCTTGCAGTTTCAAGTTTCTGTTGCTAAGTAGATGAAATGCTTAATTGAAATTTTATTTTAAATAAGGGAAAGTATTAAAATAAGTTCATGAAAATCTGTAGCTTAAACATTTTATGCTATATGCATATTGACTTTTTAACATAACAGGGTTCTCGATGGGAAAATTGAGAGGACATTTTCACCAGTAAAGGTAAATGATGTAGATGGTACAAATCTTAATGAGACAACTCTCGGTAGACTGGGATTCAAATTTGGACTTACTGTAAGTAATATTTTAGAGTTGGCATTAAGGTAATTTAAATAATGAAATATACTGTGCAATACATTCTTAAAATACGTTAATCTAAGTACAGATATATAAATGACCGGGCATATCTTATAGTGAAACAGAAATTACATGATTTACTCGGCATGAAACTATTATTTGATATATTGCTTTGTCAATTATGAATAAAAAATGTCTATTTACAACATAGTTATTTTCACTTATATCGAAATTCAATCGTTTGCATTGAAAATCGAAGTCATATTGGAATTCGTCCCCATCAAGACGCTAGTGCAGTTGTTTTGTCCAAATATTAATCAAATACTTTCATAGCATAGAACTAATGACCAATTTTATCTAACATTCAAATATGATTTTTGTAATACTTTCAGAAACATCGAGTGATGTTTTTAAAGTTTTTAGTGATCAGCAAATTCAATGCGACGCACAAAGAACTTTTTCTTGCCAAACTCCCTCTCTTACGTTGTTTAGTGGTCAATTTGGTCGAAATTTGTTTGTAAGTGTTGCTGCAATTTGACAGCAATTATGTTCTAAAAGACGTTTAATTGCTTTGTCATTCTTCAAGTCTTCATAGGAGCACCGCTCACCGCCAGTATCGTTATATTATTTGCCATTGTCGGTGTATGCATAAGCATATACTAATTATTCTTCATATATTGTTAACTTACCCTAATTGTAGTTGATAATGATGTAATTCTCCAACAATTTTCAGCAGCAATCTAGATGTGTTCTTACATTAGTCGATCTAATCTAATATCGGCACAAGTCTCGCAAAATTAATATAAAATATATATATTCCATCATTCTTCTTCAATATTTCTTTTGTCGCATTATATTATGATATATTAGAGTCAAACTAAATCATATCTTTGGTATTTCGGTTTCATCATCTTGGTATTTTGGATTCTGCATATTTCAATAGATAGTGCTTCACTTTATGTTACTCAATTTATGTTTATCTCTAGCAAGATATCCTTAGGTCATTCCTGGTCGAGTGGTTAAGGTCGCTCACCTCAAATCACTAGCTCCTTACTGCTGTTAGTTGGAACTTGCCAGGAACTTTGGATTCTTTCACATGGAGAGCTATTCTGCCAGCTTTCGGATCGTCCGTGGTTTAAGTAAGGTGCCTGTTCGTGCCTGAAATAATGCTCGGAGGGGCACCTGAGGTTTTTAAACACAAGTAAAGCTGGAAAGTCGCCATAAGACTTTTACTGTATAGGTGCCATGTAAATCTCGACAAAAAAGAATAAACGTAAGCCATCCTACTCGGATTATTCAAACGTCATAAAATGTGATCCCGAACGCACCTCTAATTGGCAAGTTTCGATTTTACTTAAAATTAGTTGACTGCGCTCAAGAGACTCCTAACAACAAGAAGAAATATCCACTATTTCAGCGTCATGTTAAAAACTATGAAACTGAATATGCGGTATAACTTTCATCGTGTTTTTCCAATCAACTGTTTAATAAAAAGGATTCCAAAGATTAAATATCAATTCTTATTTGATTATTTTAATTTTACGAATATTAAATGTAAAGACAACATTAAGTTAAAGTGTTTTTTTTAAATGTGTTTACAGATCCAATGCGCGGTTAAAGTATCAAGTACAGCAACCGGGGACCAAACAATCCCGCAGATGAGTGATACATTCTACGCTGGTATAAAAGTGAGAATCTCATTTCAAAAGTGATACTTTGTATACTTTAAACATGTGTGAATATAGCCAGGAATATACTACTATTGTATTACCAGTAATGACTGATCGACTTTCAAACTATTGCTGTTAAAGGCCTAAAAATGCATTAAGTCTTTTTTTCAAAACCTTTTTAAATTTGGCAGAGTTTTGATATTTATATACCAAAACAGGTATTCATTGGCCAATTAGCTGAGCGATCCTTTTCTTCTGTCGCTTTTTGGCAATAAGTACGGCTACAGTGATGGAAGACAAAAAAACAACAACAATACTTTGTTTACATTTTTATAACAAATTATTTTGAATAATCGCTATTCCCTAAACCATTATTTAAATGAAATTCGTGTTTGCCCTTTCTAAAGAAGTAAAAATGTATTTGTTTCTGAGGCATAGTGTGCCTGTTGGTTTTGAGCAAATCCATCCATGTTGACGGGTACTTTTAAACCCAAGAATTCTAACGGATGAAAATAGTTTGGCTTATCTTTTTTAATTGCAGGGTACACGTTTTAAAAACGTAGATGAATTGCACTTGAACGACAATTCTTCCCTCACAAATAAAAAAAAGTTGATGTTCACTTAGGAAAATTATGTTGAATCATCCATTCACTGATCATTTATTAAATGTCTTATTATATTTCTCATCATTCTAGGTTCTTACACCTCAAATTACATTAAACAGCGGATCACCGAAAAGTATTTTAGTACTGCCAACAATTCCTCTTGGATGTCGAAGGCCAGATGGTTTACCAGATACTTTAGAAGAGCATTGCGATCTGGACATTGAAATGATTGATACAAATACTAAATATTCGGTAAAGTATTTAACAACATTTTTGGGAAAATAGAATACCTGCAAGAACAACAATACAAACAATTACGTTTATTAATACCCCTATCATATCATACAAATCACTTGAATGACGCTATTGAGTCTAAGTATTGCGTGCAGTAATGGTTTGAGTAGAAAAGAATTGTGTAGCTTAGCGAATATATTTAACAATGCCGAGCAAAAGAGCTCTTATTTTGGAATATAATGATATTAAAGTAATATTATATCATAACCTTTAGCCATTCCTTAAAAAGTGAGTTCCTATAACAATTACATTTTTTTTAGTATTGTGAAAGTATGCAATTTGTGCTAACTTTTTTTTATTTATTTCAAATAGACCAGGACTATCAACTCGTGGCATTTAGTTACATGTACGTTTTGTTTACTTGCGTAGATGATCGCAATACCGTATCCGTTTCATTGTATTTTCAATATTGTATTCGAAGTCCTTATCCAAAGATTGACGGAAAGAAAAGACCTATAAATTGCGATGATGCAGTTTTAGACTAAAGAGTCGCTACTGTCTACTTAAAAAACGGGTTTTACAGGGTTGGAAGGTCATTAAAGTAGGATGATAATTATTTTCATCTATCTAAGTCATGTAAAGAACATGATATTCTTGATGTAAGGCTGTATGTCTGAAATATTACCCATCTCTTCATAGTCTGATACGCGCTGAGTTACGCAATATATTAAATATTCAAATTTAATGTCTTACATTGACATCTTAAGGTAAAAAAAAAACGATCCAAAAGAAAGAACTTTATAAAAAGATAATTTCAATCGCCGAGATTTAAAGAAAAGCAACATTCTTTGCCATCATTTCAATCTTGCTTTATAATAATTTATTGCGATCAAAAATTTTCTTACACAAAAAAGGAATCGTTAGTATAATAGTGACCGAAAATAGATTATTAAAGAAATCTTTAAAATTATTGCATGAATGTATGTGATAAAAAGTGTGCACGATTGGATATTATACTGTATTATTAGCCGCAGAAGTTTTCATTTAATTTAATACTAAATTATACATATCTAAAATATAATTTACTTGTATAAAATTAGGACGCATAATTTGCCAATCTTCGTAACAACCTTTAGCACCGTTTTGCAGTTATATACCAGACCAATAGAATCAATAATGCACTTTGAACTTAAAGAAATTCTTTTCAAGAATCACATGGCCTAGAGCATGGGTATTTTGCATAAGGCATTGTCTGGCGGACCTCTACCGAGATTGTTCTAATCATAACCCTTGGTTTAAAATTCATATGTTTTCCTAATATGTATATATTAAAATTTTGAATAATATCCTTCTTCAAAACATTCAGTGCTAGAGCTTAATAGTTAGCATGAAACATTGTCAGCAGACCTCTTCAAATATGTTCAAGCTATAGGTCAGTGTTCAAAATTGCCCTAACGCGGGGGTCATTGTGGTCATGTATTTTATTTGTATACATATATATATATGCATGTAGTTATTACTTTAAATTTCCGTTTTTTAATGCAAGAGTAAGATTTTAGATTCTTAGCAAGAAAAAGTCTATCCAACCTCTGCAAAAATTGTTGATACTATAGCCCTGAAGTCAAATGTGGACCTGGATTGGGGGATTATTTGTCTTCCTTATAAACATCAAGTAAAAACCTTTCCTCAAAAACTGTGAGGGTAAAGGCTTAGATTTACAAAGTTATTTAATTTGATAGCCCTGCTGTCAAAACTAACCCAGCTCGGTGCGGGGAAAGAGCAAGGGTTTTAAGTATATACTTATACATATATTTATATATAAAATACTTGTAATATTTATTACTGAAAACCGCATGAGCTTGAGCTTAGATATTTACCATGAAACATTGTTAAGTGGACCTCTACAAACATTGTTCAAATCTTAATAATTGGTTTGAAATTGTCTTCACCCAGAGGTCATTGGTTTTCTCTATATTCATATCATGCCTATAAATTTAAAACTTGTACAGAACATTGAAAGACAAGAACTTAGATATTTGAAATGCAATCGTATCTAGAAGACAACTGCAAAGTTTGATCAAATTATAGCCTTGAGGTCAAAATGTGCCTTACCTGGGGTGGGGCGTGTTGTTACCATTGATTTTTCATCATGCGTTTGTTATTTGACATTAATCTATAAAATTGCACCCATAAGCATTGTTTTAAATTCAGAATTGAACTTTGATATTGGTTGATTTACGTATATCTCTACCTAGTGATCAATTTTTTCTTCTTCATACAGCTTTTTTAACCATGTGTAGATTGCTGATAATACTTAACCTATTTTTTGACGTGGTGTCTGACCTCCACATTCACTAAATCCAACTGCATTATCACAAAGTTTCATTGTTTAGAAAAAAAAACTAGTTTTGTTCTTACTATTTAATGTTGTATAATGTGGTGGCATAGCTTTTTTCACAAATGCAATCTTGTTTCTTGACATGAATGGTTATTTACAAATTATGAAGGGTTGGAATATAAAATCAAATAAGTCAAGTATTAATTGATTTTCATTTCATTTGATTACAAGTATTTTCTTTTTCTGATAGCATTGTCTATAACATAGTATCCTATATTTTGGCTTGTACCCACATGTATAAGTTCTATACAAAAAACAAAACAGCATTGTGTATTTCAGTGCCAGGACACATCTTTGACATCATTAAGAAACCAAAATCTATGTGGAAGTAAAATAACTGGATGGCGGAATGCAACTTCTCAACCGTGTATGCATTCACACAATGCTGAATTGTGTAGTTACTCAAGCATAAAAAGAAGACTCACGACAACATCGATACAAATTGCTGCGTCAAATGACCAACTTCAGTATCCAACCGACAAAACCTTTACTGTTCAGCTTAAAACTGGAAATACTGCGCCTCATTCATTCTGGGAAGATGTCCAACTTGACGATGTAACGGTATGAATATCATTTATTTTATCTCACATAGATCTGACAGTTGACTGTATACACATTGAGAAAGTTTTTTGCATTTTAGTGACCTTAAAATTTACCTTTCAGGTACGTTATACTGGAGGAAGCCAAAACAATAAATGGAAAGGGAAGATATGCTCAGTTGTTAATTATCCTACATTAGCAACATTTGATGGATCTTGGAACTGGCCATATCAATCTTATATAAACGATTCGGGCCATTACCTTTTGTATAAAAATACTGAAAGTTTGGCAGAGGTTCAAATTAAAACCCAATTCTGTGGTGCAGACAGTAGTCTCCACTCATATACCTCTTCGTGTACGTGTGCTGCTGCAATTCAGTCGGATGGAGACGTGTTTTTGATTGATATATGTACTGAAATCAAACGAGCAGAGTTCACGCATCGTCGTGGGAATGTCCTGAATGTAAGAGAAGTAAAAGATACCCAGTATGAGGTAAATATTTTACACCTTCAATAAATAACAGATAATCATTATCATTGAAACTAAATTACTGTTAACGTAAAATGTAGGTTTAACTTTGTATCTAAACAGGCGGTTTACAAGGCAGTTTTTTCTTTCAGTAAAATAGTGGAATAAAATTAGTTAAAAAGTAAATATATATATATAATTATATATATATATTTATTATTTACATATATATTGTTCGAATCTAGGTGTATCTTCCTACTGGCACTAAAGTGAGAATTGAAATAAGATTTTATCACATTTCGAACTTTTTAAACGTTTATGTCACCCCATCGCCGTCTGATGTTACAAATACGGAAGGTTTATGTGGAAATCTCGATGGAAGTAAAGAAAATGTAAATAATGTGTACTTCGAAAAATGGAAGTAAGTTTATAGCTCTTCTATTTAATACATTACAGAGTTGGTTATATGTATCTGTATACAATTGTATCAAACCATATAATAGATTTTAGGTATTATTTTAAGTATTAGATATTATTATTTTCCAGCATAAGCTTGTATTTGGTTTTGAATTGAAAAATTGTTATGATAAAAATCGTTTCATTGCTGATTAAAAGATTAACAACGTAAAGATTAAACGATAAAATGTTTGATAAAGTTTTGAAAGTATAAATCAAACATTGTTTACAGCGGCGGGATATATTGTTATTTTTCCCTTTTTGTTTTATTTTTATTTATTATATGTGTGATATTATAAGTATGATATGATAATTATCATGATGTTCAATTTGTTTTAATAACTTTTGCCATAAATGAGGTATCTTTCATATTCATAAACTTTACAATCTTTTCAACTGTAGATAAATACAAGAAGTGAATATACTTTTATGTTAATTTTTCGTGTCTCAAGAGCAGTATTAAATTATTAAATACAGGTTGCAACGCAGTTTGTTTAATACGATGCGTTACAATCTTCCATCAACACGGACCTACAATCATAACGTTTGCATATGTCCAAGGGCTTTCCCAAATGAAACTTTTCGAGTATTACAGAATGGTCATAAAGATGATAGGGCAACATGTTTCTCACAGCAGTACGCTACATGTACAGAAAATATTCAACTTCCAGGAGAAAAGAAAACTTTCACATTAAAAAACAAAAGATCTATTGCAAGACATAGAAGAAATGTTGAAAGATTACTTGATCTCTCATTCTCATGTGAGAATTCAAATACCCGTTTCCGCAAGGTAAGTATAATTTTATATCAAGTTTCTTCACCACAATCCTTTAATTTAACGACCTCTTTAAATACCCACTTTCGACCGGTGCATGTGAAAATTATTGTTAAATTTATCATGTCTATCACTGTCTACAACGTATTAATTTCTCAATTTTCAAAACTGCATATTTAATTATCAGTAAATGTGAATTTAAATTGTGAAAGGTTTATATGTTGTCTGACGTGTCAAAATGAAAATGTTTAGGCTTATTTTGATTTCCATTGAGGAAAGTGGTAAACAAGTGCCAGCAATTATCCACGTACCATAACCCCTATCTGTGTGAAATGCATCATGAACAATAAAAAATAAATCAACAGAGAATTAAAGAAAATCAACAGATGTGATCATACGGCCATCTTTTTAGCAATTGTCTTGAAAGAGTGTATGATACTCCATTATGGTTATAGTTGTACCTTAAAGGAGAAAACACTGGGCAGATCTAAATAAGAATAAATTGTTAGTGGGGACTAGTGTCAACCCTATATATAGCAGACAACTATCAAAAGTCGTATATTTAAAGTAGGAAACATACCGGTAACTTAGGGGTGAAAAGGCAATATTCATTTTGTGATTTTGATAATATCTAAAGAGAAATGGTTCAGTTCGATTTTGCTTTTAACAGATGCTTATGTTTAACCATATAGAATAGACTTTGCTCTTCTTCTTTAAACTATGTTATCATTTTATAGAGTACCAAACCACATCTCAATGAAAAACAAGCATACATGGAGTGTCTTGAAGAATTTAAATCAAAGCCTACATACAACATGATAAAAGATTTATCTGACATAGCCTTGAATGACTCATTATCAGCATGTGTGAATGGCATGATGGTTTGTGACTTCTTATATAATATATATATTTCACATAGCTACAGTTTAACTACGAATTATTTGTATGCATACAATATTTGTTTTTTATCAGTGTACAAAAAGATTTTTTTTTTCAAATAAGAAATCGTTTTCTTTGGTTATGATTGTAGATTTTGATAAAATTGATACTGTTGTAATAATGTTATCACATTTCATTATTGGTCTCTTCTTACAATTTATACCGCAAATGAATCATGATAAAAAATTCTCATTTACATATAAACCTGTTTAGTTGTATTATACAGGTTGACGGTCGAGATGTCTTGAAAGAGGAAAGTTATAACAGTTGGGTCAGTGTTGTTACCCAAGAAATAGACCGAAATGGAATAATCAGAAAAAAGAAAGCCGATGTTGTCAGTAATTTAAAAAGTATCACGTGTCCATCGCAATGTAACGGTAATGGTAACTGCATAAATGGTATGTTGTGGAATTTGATATTAAATTATCTTCTAATAGAAGTCTGTTACGTCTGAAAATTTATATTGTTTTATTTGCCATTGTATCTCTGTGTGTATCTCTTTTTGAATCATCTTCATGGTCAAACAGTATAAAAGGATTAAACCAGTAATCTCCAATGCATCTTATTGAACAAAATATTCCCCGTCGGAAAACATTTCAGATATAGAAATGTAGTTGTGAAATATAACAAAGGTTAGAAATAAAACCATTGAGTATTGTTATGTTTTAGGAACATGTGTATGCAAAGATGATTACGGTGGCGATTCTTGTTTTGTAAAAACATCAGCGACTCCTAAACTAACCGATATAGAAGGTGGAGGTGAATGTGATCTTGCTGACGGCGATGATTGTCATGATTGTCTTCAGTTTCACACCGAGAACCTTTTGAAAGGATTCAAGTGCAGGATTGAAACAGTTGATGTATGCCGTCCAACCGTTTTAAATAAGGCGTTCTATATAAACACCGCTGAAATTAATTAATCTTTTTACCAGTTATTATTATTGTCGTAGCTAGATAAGCTCGGCTTTAATTATACCTGTGCTTTATTCTGGTAAAAACAATGTTTCTATAAACAGGTTTATGATGCATTTACTGTACACACACTTTTATGAATTAACATATAATAGAACTTCTATGAGTCGAACTTCGATAAGTCGATTTTCACGATGTGTCGAAGTAACATGAAAGTCCGGATCTCTCCCTTTGTATTCTTTGTAAAAACCAACACATGAGACTTTTCGATGTGTCGAGGTTTTCTCGTGGTCCGATTAGAAGAAATCGAGTACAGTTTACCACAAATAACCCTCGAAGTTTGTTTAATCATTTTCAAATCTTGGATCTTAAGACATTTTTTAACTTTTTTCTGGTCGCAATGATAATTTCCGATCAACTTGTGTGATAGGTGTCATTACAGCTTTGTGTTCTAACACACTTTGTATACGATAAATGTGTGATAAAAACTGTTTCAGTAAAAGTTATCATTCAAATTGCGTATTTGTATTTGTAAATAAATAGTTCGAATAAGTTTCCAACCGGTACGTCCACGGCTGTTATTCATAAATACCTCGGACTTAATACAAATTAAAAGTATTTCTACCACGTGGTTTTAGATGTTAACAAAAAATAGCATATAATCTTTGATATTGTGTAACAAATGTATAATTTTGACATACATAGGAAAATAAAGTCTATTTTTCAAAAATTATGATTGAAAAAATGTGCTGTGTTGTAGATGTTTATATTAATCTGAACAGAAATATTTATATTTATATTTTATTTTAATTAAATCATATTCAATTTGCATCAACATTCAACGGACTAATTTAATTAATGATGATTTCAAATGTAAAAATATTCAAAATATTTCATTTACTTTTGTTTAGATTGTAATCATGTATTAGATATTTTACAGCTTGATGTAAACGGAACAGCTATCTATTCTGTTAAACACGATCGTGACGGAGAATATGAGAGCGTATTTGATGGATACTGTTGTCCCTCGGCTGTAGAGAAAAGGAAAAAGAAAAGAGCTGTCACATCTAATACATTTACAGTTAGATACTCTGTATCTATTAGCAACGATGGAATACACTACGGACCAAGTAGAAATGTTCATGTCTTTGATTCGACATGTCAATCATACGTCAATATGCCAACAGGCTATTTAATTTTCAGTTTGAAGGTGGAGTTTATAATCTTTTATTTAGCGAATATAGTTACCAAATGACCTTACGTAGTCAAAGCGATTTAAATGTTCAGAGAGAAAGAGAGAATTACTAAAACCATAATGTAGTTTAAGTTTTTTTAGACAATATTACAGACGCTTGAAAGAAGATTTAATCTCTTAATTTGAGATACATTTCAGTGGTCGTGGATAGCTTTAAATGATGAACATTGTCTTTACATAGTTATATATTACACATTAAACACTTTAAATATGATTATAGGCAGACACATGCTATATAGACAGTCAGTGTTACAGGGACGGCGAACGAAGTCTAGATAGTCCATTTCTAATTTGCTGCCCATTTGTTACTAGCTACGAGTGGACAAATCGGCAAGGTATATTATTAGTCTTTGCAAAGAAAGTTTTAAAAGCACATTTCCTTTTTTGATGTTGATTTCCGTGAAATTGTTCATTTGAAAAACAGCAGTGCGGAATGAATTGATGGTATCGCTGTTAAACTCCAACATATGTAGCTTTTAGACACATTATGCCTCATAAATGAAAATATATTTCTTTCTTTAGAAGGTCAATCATGAATTTTATAACATTTAAATAATAGCTTTAGAGTATAATAGATGTTGTGACCTGTATAAAATAATATGTCATAAAAGTATGAGAATGTGAACAAAGTATCATTTTGTCTTCCATACAAAGTACTAATGAAATCACTATAAATGTACAAATTTCCAAAAAGTAAGAAAAGAAAAAGAGGGTTCAGGTAGAGGGTTAATGCGTAACTAGTTGGAAACTATAAACGAATACCAAAAATAAAAGATTTTGAGAAATAAAAATGAAAGCATTTCTGGGGCATATTGGGCCTTTACAATTGTCATTCGTACTTCATGTATCTTATTTATAAATACTAACCCAAAAATATAGTAAATCTCTTGAATGTAACATACAATATAAAATGCAAGGTTTTCAGGATAATTAGCGAATTTGTACATAATTATAGGTACGTAAGTTCTTGCATGTCAGACAAATCTACATTTTACACAAGTGCTACAAAAACCTGCATTGCACCATCATTGTACGTTGTGACTTTATACTGACGTCATTTCCGAGCGTTTTTTTATGAACGAGTTGTGTTAGGACGACGTCATGTAAATTAATTCGCTTCTATAAGTAAAAAGTCTTAAATAAGAAAAAACAAGTTTCAAAATGTTTTTCCGAAATATGTTGTTATATGTAATATACAAGAACAAGAAATATATACCGACCGTCGTCGTAGACAGGAATATACAGCTATCGCGTAAACTCCACAGAGTCTTGTTATTACCGTAAACAGTTTCCCTCGATATAAATACTTCGTTCTGTAACGGCAACCGGTGTAAGATCCTTATAACCTTAAATTATTATGTTGAAAGTATTAAATATCATACATATCAAGAAACCATGAAATGGATATAATTATATCAATGTTGATGGTAAATGTTGGATATATGATTAGATATTAAATATTTATGTAAAGCAGATAATACATTGTTCTAGAACAAAATATTTTTATTTTTTTTTTTTTTTTGGTTTTACGTCACATCGACACAGTATATTATTTTCTTTATCAAACATTCATACTATAACTTTTAGAACTATATTGTCATTTTCTTCCAAGAAATATTTGATACAAATATTCAAATAAAACGTGTTTTTTGTATAATCGAAATACATGTACTTACGTTAATTTCGCTCATCCAATCCACTTTAATACTAAGCATTACTAAGCATGGAGAATAAAATCTTTTTGTGCAATTTAAGATTGTGTTCCTCCGACCAGCAATCAGGAAAACGGCGGTGAAAGTAGCAATCTTAGTATTGTAGCAGTGTCTGTATCAGTGTCAGGAGTATTTCTTGTTGCCGGTGTAGTGGTATTTGCAATTTGGACCTACAAAAGTAAAAGGCGGTCTGTTTGGTAAGCTCTGTTTTTTATAACTTTGTCAGTTATGGATGGATTTAAAGATAATTTGTATCATAGTTTGGGGACCTTTCTGTTGAAAATGTGTCAGAGTTAAATCGTATACATATACATGCACAGTGCTTGGGTTTACTTATTGTGACGGAAGAGAAAGGGAAAGCGACAGAAATATCATATTGAGATGCTCGTTCATTGGTTACTTTTCTCGGGGTTTCATATTGTGACAACAGGGAACGTGTTTTTATGTTTGACTATGATACAAAATAGAAAGAACATCAAAACGCTCGGCAATCTGTTTAATACTCGGGGGCTACGCCCCCTCGTACAAATCAGATAGCCTCTTGTTTCGATGCTCTTTCTATTACTTGTACAAAATCTAGATCTTAAGCACAAAGGTCAGGGTAACAATATGAATTCAATTCTTTTTTAACAAGAGCCATGATAACATGGCCATCCCCCGTCGAATGTGTCTGCTCATTGAAAGAATGTATATGTAGAAGAACAGAATAATTCAAATTTAAGAGGTTCTTTTTGGTAATGAAACCTGATGGCTAAAGTGATTAAAGATTTGAAACCTATGTGAATACTGATGGTTGAAAAAAACAATGGGCAATAACTGAACAATAATGCAGGGTAGGTTATCATTCTTGTGTGCTGCACTTCTCCTCAATTAGATCTATCGAACTATGAAATTTTAATTTGATACCTCTAACACTCCGGACATAAGGTATGAAAAAAGACAAAGGGCAATAACTCAAAAAATATAAAGGGTAGAGTTATCATTCTTGCGCACAACATTCCTCCTCAATAAGATCTATCCACCTATGAAGTTTCATGTTGACATCTCAAAGACTTTTTGAGTTATGATTCACTGAGGCGAAACATTAAGTATGAAAAATAACCAAGGGCAATAACTAAAAAATTATGAAAGGTAGAGTTATCATTTTTGTGCACTGAACTCCTGAGTGAGATCTATCCATGAAGTTTCATGTTGATATCTTAAAGGCTTTTGAGTTATGCTCTGGACAAAAATTAAGTTGAAAAATAACAAACCGCAATAACTGTAAACTTATGGAGGGTAGAGTTATCATTATTGTGCATTGAACTCCTCCTTAATAAGATCTATCCACCTATGAAGTTTAAAGTTGATACCTCAAATACTATTTGAGATATGCTCCGGACAAAAATGTGGGACTGAATAATGGAGGGACGGATGGACAGACGGTCGGAGACTATTTCTATATACATCGCCGCATTTTTGTCGGGGGATAATAAAACTACACTGATGTGCGTGCTCGATCGACCATTTTGTCCTTGAGGGATGAATTTTAAGAATTATGACGCATAAACGTATTGGACACAACTTGCATAGCGCAAAAAATAAGGCCACTTCCTCAAAGGCAAAGGTCACACATGTTGATCTAGTCAAGATATGATTTTTTTTATATTCTCATGTTTGTCAACAATTCTGTCATTCCTGGAAGGATTTAAAAAATATCATGCATAAAATTATTGGACATTATGACATGGTGTCGTGAGCATTAATCGGGTCCCTACCTCAAAGGTCAAGTTGACACTTGTAGATAAAATATCAAATCTGTTAATGCGAAATTTAAGACAAAGGGTCTTCAAAAACTTAAATAATTTTCGACACGAAGATCTGCAACTGGTGTGGCCAGTGTCAGATAGCTGCATAACAACGCGTCATTGCACAAAGCGTCTTGAGTGCAAGCCTTTCTGTTGAATTTCCCAATCTTCCGTATTCACCTGACCTTGCCCCCTTGTGACTTCATTTCGTTTCAAAAGCTAAAAGTAACAAAGTCATAGAGGAGAAAATCGTTTACTACAATTTGAATGTCGTTAAATAAAATTTTTGAAACATGTACGTATACATTTCAGGCCCGTGCCTACAACAAAGGCGGAACCTCCTAAGTGTCCTGACTATACCGAGTTGGACTTCAGCAAGGTGAAATTTGAAAGCGTGGGAAAGGCAGTATTCCAACCCAACAACTAAATGTGTCTACTACCGATTACTAAAAACGTGAAATAACACAGTACAATAAAGTATCAAGACAAATGCAATTCTCTTATAATGTGTTATCATTTCATATTTTTATGACATTCAAACTTTCGTATGACAAAATAATAATCATGACAAATCTCTTATATAGAAAAAGATTTGTAAACTTAATATGCGTTGAGTGTTTTCACGCATTTCTTGTTTAAAGGTAAACTTTCTTCAATTTTGTAAAAGCATATATTTGATGTATATGACACTTTTGTTTGAGACGTCACAAGGAAATAGTAAAGTATTCTTTAGTAAACTATACATAATGATATGTGTATGATACAGCACTGTAGCAACATTATATCTCTCTGTCTATCTTTCCTTCTCTTAATAATTGGCGTTTTTATTTAACCATATTTTATTGCTCTTTTTGTTCACGTGTATAATTGTATATTTTCATAATAATATCGTTATATGCCCACTCAACACGCTTCATATAAAGTTTAGAAAATTCATTAAAACCTTATTCAATATTAATATGAAACATTTGTTTTAAACACAAGATTTAGCTATTCAAGAAAAATATAGAGACAAAGATAAATTATTTAATCAGTTCTCATATATTCTGTACATATAATCACTTTTGTCTGTCACCCTTTTTGTCTGTCACTGATATTTTTTCCAAATATTATCTATAATTGATTTACTGTGTGTCTTTCTGTATGTCTATACATTATTTACACTTTATATTGCTTGAATAATTGAATTCAGAATTGGTTTTAGTTTGTATTTAGTTAGTAATACTATTTTATTTCCCGATATTAAGGTAAAGAAAGAATTAATACTGGTGTGCGGTTTTAGGGTTGTTAACGGAAATTATGTCTGTTTTAGAGGATTTTTAACAACGACAAAAGCAACAATTGTATATAATTACATTGATAGGAGTCTATGAGTTTCACTTGCAATAAAGGAACTTACATGTATAATTACTAAGATACACATGTATATTTTATACACTTGAACACATACTCTTATTTTGCATGCGAGTTTTTATCAACAAAAATCAGTACAAAATACAAATTATCAGTTTCGTTAATGTATTAGAACATTTCGATAAGTATTTGTTCACTTAAGAATTGGTAGTGATGGCCTGGAAATTGAGCGAGGTCGGTAAGACAAGATAATTATTTATTCATAAGTTTATAAGACTTCCATCTATACATGTGAATTAGATATAAAAATATACAATACAAACATAAAATACAGTTTAATTCTAAGGGAGACAACTCTCGAGCTCATGACACAAAACTTACCTATTGTATGCACTGAAGATTGATCTCTCTTAGCTACACACATTTCCTACGCAATAAAATACTTTTTTATAAATTCATCAATGAAATATTCAGAAATATTGATGAAATTAAATGCGTATTTTCATTTTCTATATTTTCACTGTAAATATTTATTTTTCACTGCACTGAAACACATTTTCTGTATTTTCAATGGTGTTTTGCCGGACTACTTTTTTCTAAATCCACATCAGATGAATATGTTTTTTTTTTTAAAGGAGAATGTTATTCAATTTATAACAATTTTATAATCGGAACAAATTCTGTACAAAAAACGAGGCATCCCTTTAACAATTTCCTGTTCTATTCTGTTCTATTCCTGATACATTAAATCTGTATCAATAGATGCTTATAAGTCTAATAGCAGCTGTCAAAAGCTTGAACATCAGTTTTGTTTTCTGCAAAATAACACAAGACAGCAATATTGAGTTATACATTGAAATAGACAATGAAGTAGATGACATCTTAGTTAACATTGATTTTCATTTGATTGAGTCAGCTATGATCTTCCACCAAATAATGTCAATGAGAATGAACCGGTAGTTCGTCCAGCTGAACAAGATGTCAGCAACACTATCAATGTTGGTAATCCACGTTTAGTTATTTTCAACAAAGAAGTTGTCTGATGAATTTCTAGAAGATGGCCTTAACCCTTTTCTGCATGAGCATATTGTGAAAAAATGGCCATTTTCATGGAAAAGCCTCCTGTTACAAGTTCAAACTGCAATAGAACTATGAAAAATGCTTCAATACTGAATAATGAAACTTGGGACAAATATTGACTGGACCATAGCCTCTGTAACAGAATGTTCAATCTTAAATTTACCTGTTACCATGGCAACTAGGGGACGTCTCAAAATTGCCCCCCAAAAAACTATTTTTGTATTATTTTTTCCATCAAAACTGATTTCAAAGTGCTGTACCTTCTCAATTGATGTACCTTTTTGATAGGGGCGGCGCCGAAAAAGTGATCACTTTTTTATCAACATTTCTGAAACGAAAAACAGTGTTTGAGGCCTAAATAAGACATTTTTTTACAGTTTTAAGGCCTGAAAGGGGGGTGGAGCCTCAAAACACGACTATATGAGGTAAATGGATCTTTAGGGATTCTGTGTTTATCTATTATAAGAACACGACATTTAATTATTCCAAATAAATATGGTATCTGTGGCTGAAAGAAGGTCAATTCTTTAAATCACTCAAAAGAGTTATCTGCCTATGTGAGTAACTTTATTTATGCAGTAAGGAAAAAGATGGCCAGGAATATGAGCCAAACTCTCTCATATCCACTTCCAGAGACTTCAAAGATTTCTCAATGTAAACCAATATGGCTTCTCACTTAACAAAGATCATGTTTTCCAGAAGTGAAAGCAGGTATTAAAAACAAAAACAAAGCACTTAAAATCACAAGGAAAAGGCAACAACCAAAATGCTGCTGCTGCTATAACATCGACGACATAGAGGAATTCTATGCAGATGGCCAACTTGGTTGAAACAATCCTAGAGCACCTCAAAATCCTATGTGGTATATTTGCACCATTTTGTTTTTGTATGCAGACTGGCGCAGAGGTTCATTCTCTTTGTTGTGGCAATATTAAGTTGTTGTGTGATGATGATTCCGAATATCTGGTGTACAGTCAGGAGCGCCAAACCAAAACTAGGACTGGAGCTGATCCTCGTGACACTAGAAAAGTAAAGCCAATAGCTATGCAGAACTTTATTGAAAATTCCTGCACCGTGTCCAGAGGCTTTATATAAGCAACTTGCTGACAGGAGTCTAAAAGCAATGTTGGAGTCAAACTCTAATTTCCTCTTAACAGTAGCCTCCAACCAACCTGAAAATAGAAAACCATGGTATAAGAAATTTGCTATGGGGATTTACAAAATATACAGCATAATGAAGGATATGAAGCACGCAGCAAACAAAGATAAGCCAAATTTAAACCATACTGGTAAGGGAGATAACTTCGGCTGGTTGATAAACTCGGTGTTTTATAATCGAGTTGTCGGATTTTTTAATTTAATCAAGCTCACCATCTCGCAGGAACGCTGTAATACGACAATATTTGGAAATTTTGTTAAGTTTGATAAGATATTAAAAAAAACCACAGACTTTAACCTGCTTGTTTACAAAACATGCCTATAAAAAGTACGTGAATCCGATTGCTGTGCGCATGCGCATCAGATGCTAATTTTGAGGCCCGTCAGGTAAATACTGAAAGAAAAATGTTTAGCAAGTTCGTATAAAATATAATATTTTGATATGTTTATAGTTCATTGAACAAAAACTCAATGACATACATCTTCAAGCTTTTAATTCCATTTGCAAATCAACAAGTAAATCGAAAACAGATGTTGAATTCTTTGGATTCTGTCAACCGAAAATGGAAGGGATGTAAGGGAAAACTCACAAAAGTGTCAATATCGAGTATGTCCTCCGTTGACAGCAAGTACAGCACCACATCTTCGTCTCATGCTGTTGATAAGTTTTTGAACATCATGTAGAGGAATTCTGCGCCATTCCTCGTGCAAAGCCCGCTCAAGATCACGAACGGTGATAACGTCATTACGTTCTCTAAGCTTACGCCCAAGATGGTCCCACTTGTGTTCAATTGGCGAAAGATCTGGCGATCTGCATGGCCATGGAAGAACAGCAATGTTGTTACGCCTGAGAACATTCTGTGTGTGCCATGCAGTGTGTGGCCGGGCGTTATCCTGTTGCAAAATTCGTGCATGTTGTAACAGAAAAGGCAAAACAACTGGCTGCACTATCTCGTCACAATATCACACTGCAGTAAGGTTTCCAGCTACTGTAATCAATTCAGTTTTACCACGATGACAAATTCCCGTCCATATCATCACACTGCCTTCACCGTAACGATCGCGTTTTCGCAGTGACGTCACAACAATATAACGTTCTTCTGCAAACTTTGTTTTTCGTGGTCTACCCGAACGTGGCATCTCTTTTACATCACCTGTTAGCTGATATCTAGTTTTGAAACGACTAATAGTCGATTCGCTTACGCGAAATTGTCGTGCAACTTCCCTCGCGGTCATACCAGCATTTAGCATGCCAATATCCATATGATGTCGAGGTAGCGTCATTCCTGGAGCACGTCCCATTTAATAATTTCCAAAATGAAATGTGGTTAATTTGTTTATGGTATAAGATTGACAAGGCTGTATTATGTTTGGATTTTATACATGGCAGATTTCGTGCTGCACGTGCTCTCCTTGGTTAATTAGTTACTACACGTTTTGACGTATTATAACCACAGATGCGTAAAACTGTACAGGGAATCTATGGTATAGGTCAAGCTAGACATTATTACCGCATAAAACATGTATACATACATTGTCCCTAAATCTATATGTACCCCTACAGAACTTGCTAAACTTATTATACCCCCGCACAACAAAGTTGTAAGGGGGGTATACTGGAATCAGGTTGTCCGTCCGGCTGTCCGGCCGTCTGGCCGTCCGTCGGTTTTTTCTTGTCCGCCCAATAACTTAAGATTCCTTTGACCTTTAGTCTTTGGCATGGAGGTTAGTCATGATTAGTAGATGACTCCTATTGATTTTGAGGTCACCAGGTCAAAGGTCAAGGTCACAGGGGCCTTGACTTCAAAAAGCTTGTCCGCCCAATAACTTAAGATTCCTTTGACCTACAGTCTTCATATTTGGCATGGAGGTAAGTCATGATTAGTAGATGACCCCTATTGATTTTGAGGTCACCAGGTCAAAGGTCAAGGTCACAGGGGCCTTGACTTCAAAAAGCTTGTCCGCCCAATAACTTAAGATTCCTTTGACCTACAGTCTTCATATTTGGCATGGAGGTTAGTCATGATTAGTAGATGACTCCTATTGATTTTGAGGTCACCAGGTCAAAGGTCAAGGTCACAGGGGCCTTGACTTCAAAAAGCTTGTCCGCCCAATAACTTAAGATTCCTTTGACCTACAGTCTTCATATTTGGCATGGAGGTTAGTCATGATTAGTAGATGACCCCTATTGATTTTGAGGTCACCAGGTCAAAGGTCACAAGTGCCTTGACTTCAAAAAGCTTGTCTGCCCAATAACTTAAGATTGCTTTGACCCACAGTCTTCATATTTGGCATTGAGGTTAGTCATGATTAGTAGATGACCCCTATTGACTTTGAGGTCACCAGGTCAAAGGTCAAGGTCACAGGGGCCTT